AACAAGCGCGGTTCGGTACGGTACCGGTTCAGTACGGTACGATACTGCAGGAAAGTATTGTTGAAACGCCCATGATTATATGAGGGACTACTATAGGGGTTATTAAGGGGGATACTAGGAGTTTAAGCAATGGTACACATGGATTTTTCTCCAAATAGGAGGCTTTCAGGGACCTTTTCAAGGTATAGGGATTGCAAAGAAATCTTGGGGTCCCATGAAATTAGGCACGACACGGGAATGATTCTGAGAAACTCTGACATTCTAGGGTTTGGGTTGCATGCCCTGGTTACCTAAGCCGCGCACGGAAGAATCATGTGGTGTGATTTGGGGTTCCCATGCCTTGCCAGTGGTCAGTAGGATCCATTCTCATGCCAACACGAAGATTCAGAAGAAACCCTAAACCTTAAACCCTAAACAATAAACACCTCTACACTGTTCCGAGAGGAGCATCTGCATCCCTCAGATGGCCCTATAACCGCAATGCACAAAAAAGCCATCTTCAAACCCTCAGCCCTGAGCCCTCCACTTGAAGAAGGCCTTCTTCACCTCCTATAGAATCCGTTGAAAGGCATTTCAACATAGTCTGACAATCCCCCAAAAAGCTTGCAGTAGTTTCCCTCATTTTATAGAATCTCTCTGCAACCCTGAACCCCTTAAGCCCAGAGTCCTACAAACCCTCAACTCCCTTACCCTAATCCTATAGACCCCAGATCCCTACCCCCCGAAACCCCTGTTTCACGGTTTAGGAAGTTTAGGGTTTATAGGGTTCATAGAGGGTTTACAGGCGGTTTATAGGGTTTATAGCGTTCCTAAACCCTATAAACCCTAAAGCCCACAGGGTTGAGTAGCCATTCAGGTACTTGGCCGGCGCCGCGGCTGGGCTCGTGTACTCCACGTACCATGCGGCCGGACCGAAGGCCGAGGCCTTGATCGGCCTTGCGCCGGGCAAGGGCTTCTGGGCTTCAGCTGGGGTTTAGGGTTTAGGGTTTAGGGTTCAGGGTTTAGGGTTTAGGGGTTTAGGGGTTTAGGGTGTAGGGTTTAGGGTGTATAAGCCAGATGAAATCCTCTATAACTGGGTCATGCCCATTGCCCTCAGCCGTGAATCCCACACCCTAAACCCTACATCCTAAACCCTCAACCCTAAACCAACTAAACCTGAAATCCTAAACCCTAAACCCTAAATATGGTAGTTTCCATGTTCTTCTCAAAATCCCTTTATAACTACATATATTTCTATGGACATACATATAGCTATATCCCTTCTTGTAGCACTTAGGCTACACTCTGTTGCAAGCCGGCCTGTCCGAGTTGGCTGCCACGACGCTGGGAGGTTGTTCAGGGTTTAAGGTTTAGGGTTCAGGGTTTAAGCTTCATGGTTCAAGGGTTCAAGCTTAAGGGTTTAGGGTTTAGGGGGGACTTCAAACAAAGGTTTGGGGTTTCAGGATTGAGGGCTTGGGATTTAGGGTTTCGGGTTGAAGGTTTAGGGCATAGGATTTAATCTTATGGGTGTAAAGTTTAGGGTTCAGTATTTAGGGCTAAAGGTTTAGGATTTCTGGTCTACTGCAGCAGTTAAATTTCCATCAACTAGGATTTAGGTCCCTGCTAAAGCAGTTTTAAGGATTACGTGAGGGTTGAATAGGGTTTATAAGGAAGCCGCCTTATCTAATATATGGGTATATTCATCCACATTATGTTAAGGTTTAGTAACGCGCCATACAACCCTTACACAACCCGAGCTTCCATTGAGTTTACAAGAGTCTAGGGTATAGGGTGAAGTTGCCTAATCCCTAAACCTGCAAAAATGCGGAAAACTGCATGGAAACTGGGGTTGTGTAGGGGTTATACAGGGTGTTCAGGCTTTCGAAATGAGCAACCATAATATGGAGGTTTATGTGTGTACCCTAAACCCTGAACCTATATACATATATACATATATGCATATCGCAACTAAACACGTCTTTGTAAAAGGTAACTGGATTCAAAGCTCCTTAGAAGCTTAGCTCGCGCCTATATAACCCTAGGGGTTTAGGGTTAGCGGTTTTAGGGTTTGAGGGGTTAAGTGTTTTAGGGTTTTAGGGTTTGCGGTTGTGAGGTTTTAGTGTGTTTTTTTATTGTTTTATTTATTTATTTTTATGGTCCATGTCCATTTGATTTGCCAATGTCGTGTCTTGACCCTAAGCCCTACACTATATGACTTTAGATGACCCCTGTAAAATCCTTCTATAACCCTTGTATAGCCGATATAGCCCTATGTAACCCCTTTATGACCCCCAAGTAACCGCCACAATTCCTGCAAGGGGAGTTTAAGTTCCTTCGCAGCAACTGAGGATGCTCCTAGCCTACATCGTGCTCAGCTGCGCCACTGTGGCCCCAGCGGGCGGCAACACCAAGACCAAGAATAGCTCCTGGGGCACATGAGAACGACTTCACCCGACCGAACCCAAAAGAATGATTTGTATAGAAAAGGGCTCCAGAACGCCTTACCTCCAGGCTTTGTGAATGATTCCAGCAGGTCCTGTGCTTCAGTAGTAGTGGTCGGGGTGAGCGTATTGTGCATTCGCCTAGGCTCTCCTGGGAAATATCAACAGCAAGGCTTTGGAACAAAGGAACATAATCCCTATGTAAATCCGATATAATATATCATATTCGCTACTAAGCCTAAGCCCTAAACCCTATATAATATGTTCCCTTATTCCCCAGCAACCCCCGTAACACACACAAAAAAAAGGCTTTTACTTCGCCCTGGCCATCGGCTCCTGCGTGACGGTGGGAGGATTCTCTCTTGGTGCCGTATCTGGAGGCTTCCTCTGAGTATGACTGCTAAACTTACCGGTTCTTAGTGGGGAATATGGGTATAGTGTGCAAGGTAGGGAATATGGACATATGTTCTCTTGGGTTTGTATAGGGATTATATTCCCTCATTCCGCAGCAAGAACCATCAAGTACATGATTTTGCTTCTGCTGCTACTGCTATTCCTGCTGTTGCCGCTGCTCCCCTTCCTGGTACGTCTCCTTCTATTGCCACAGCTCCTCCTGAGAGAAACTACCCTAAACCGCTAAACCCTAAACCCCTAAACCCTAAACCCTGTCATACAGGCGAGTTGAATCCAGCCGTGGCTTTGGGAATCTCTACAGCCAGCAGTATCTGGACTCGGTTTAGAGGGGTTATATAGGGGAGAGATATTGGGATTATAGGGAATATATTGGGGATATTATTGGGGATAATGGAAAAGAAGCTGGAAGCTACTACATTACATAGGGCCTGTTTCTTCAGCTTTGAATGTTTTGTCTTTCATAAGGTTTGGGTTTTGTGAATGCGTATGGCTCAAGGTGAGTAAGCTACGGACAGTTGTTCTGGTCTCAGGCTTGGCGTGCTCCCGGACGTTGTATTTGAGTATTTTTGACTGGGAAGAGAGAGAGAGAGATGCTATTACTCGGGTCCCCCAATACAGCCTAAGATCATATCATATCCCTTTAGATTCTAGTGTTCCGTAAGAAGAATTCACATGAGTAGTATTTTATTTGGGGATACTATGGCACCCAATATAGAGTAAGATTATATCCTCTTACAGTATCGTACAGTATCTTATATAAGGAATATTATCTTACTAGGTTCAACCACAAAAACACTACTCACATGTTGTTTAAACACCCAAAACGTCATCATGGGTGCCCACACTTTCCTGGCACGAGTTGTAGAGCCGCTGATATCGTGCTGATTCGCAGAAACCACGGGCACTTTTTCCAGCAGCCCCCGTGCGCGGTAGCCAGGTATGCACCACCCCACGAACATGGAGGGCGGCGACTTCTTCTCCAATTTCGTGCCTAGTTCTTGATGTCTTGACGAGTACTTCCGATATTACTCGAGCTCCAAAGGTTTGACGTGAAGGGCTTCCCTTTTAAGAATTCCAATATGGCATGACGCCAAAGCGGGATCAACCCCAACAAGCCCGAAGGCCTAACCCGACCGGTTTTGGTGTTCCGTTCAGGGTTTAGCCTATCCAATTTGAGACGTGGCCGCTACTGTATGTTTTCCTTAAAATGACCTATTGTGCAAATATCGTCTTCTCACCAGTATCTTCCCGAGGACACACCCAAATTTCCGACAGCGTTTGAGGCTCAGGGATTGTTGCATTTTTTTGGGGAGACTAGGTTACCCTATCCGGACTGACGCATTAAAATCTACCGCACCCAAAACTTGGAAACCGTGCTATCAGGGTATGTGAGGATGAAAAAGAGGCTGAAGGGGTACATATTCAGGATTGTGCAGGGGGTCTGGAAGTTCTGTACACAATTTCCACTAAACTCCTGAAGGCCGGCCCTCCCCTGCAACCGCTTCATATTCCAACCTTTCCCAAGCCAACTGTTCAACTCCGATGCCTAAACCAAACGCACCCCATGGAACCTTCTACAGCCTACTGACCTCATATTTTCTACAGCAACCCATACATGACGATGTACAACTGAGGAGCGTCTATGTCCTTACATACCCCGTGAACCTCATGTCTCCCTACGCACCCCTACAAGGCCTTACATACTGTCATAATCCCGTACACAACTCTGTACATCCGTATGTACCCCCACGATGCATGGACAAAGTCTTGCACCACCCCAACCGTAAACCCTAAGCCCTAAACCCAAGGGACAATAGTTTTCAGATTACCAGGCCCCAACCACAGTTCTGCATATGACCTTTTAGGGTTTAGGATTCTCTTTAGAGCCCTTTTCAGGGACTCCCATGCTTAGGCTCGCGGAAGGGATGACGCTGAAGCCCTGCACACGATAAACACTAAGCCCCAAACATTAAGCCCTAAGCCGTACGCCCTAGACTTAACCCTGGAGCCCTAAGCCCTATGCCCCAGACTCTCAGCCATAAGCCCTAAAGCTTGAATCCCAAACCCTAGGTTTAGGGTTGAGGATTTCATTGGGGTTAGGGTCTACGGCCTAAACCCTACAACCCCCAAACCTTTCTTTGAAGTCCCTTACTAAGGGATTACAATAGTACCCGCCCAAAGGGTTTAAGGAGCTAATGAGGACTATATAGGGCTTTAATAAGGCCTAATAGGGTTCTAAATCTGGCGGGGGTACCTTTGGGGGGGTACTATTGTAATCCAACCCTAAACCCTAAAACCTAA